CCATTGCAGAGTGTAGCTTGTGCAGGCATCTTTTTGCATCTTTGTCAGTGTCTCTTTAGGATAGATTCCTAGAAGAAGAAATTGCTGTGTTATAGGGCACATGTGTGTATAATCTGCTTTGTCAAATCCCCTCCATGCGATTGAACCACCAAAACTGAATTTTAACAGTGTGCAAAACTGAGGAGTAGGACGCAGAGCTCCCACTCCATGCCGCCCGAGCCTGGAGACCAGGCAGCCTCCCATTGTCCTCCGCAAGGGACAGGCATGAACAGATCTCAATCAGGAACACCAAGGCTTTAGGGGGTTTCAGAGGGAGCTGTAAAATTCCATTCTCTTTACTTTGGCTGGAATAATACCACTTTAATGAGGCAGCCCTGTTCATCTCAGGCTGAGCAGAAGCTCGGATGGGTGCATTCTTTGATTGCTAAGACACTTAAAAGTAATTATTTCTTTCTGTGTTTGGTTTGCCAGACAAAATGTTTCAAGGTATGGATCCTGTTGAGGAATTCTATCAAGTGCTGAGCAAGGGAGAGTTATTCTTAAGTTCATTTATCTGACCTTGGTGGTCTGTCTTTACAAATGGAAGGGAAATTAACATGGTTAGGATGCATTCAGTCTCTTATTCATTCAATCAATACAAATTGAACACGCCCTCAGTCCCCTCTCTACTCCCACCTCTAGGACAGAAACAAAAACCTGCACAGCCTGCAGGCCGAACCCTGCCCGCTGTTACTTGAGGTTTGGATCACACTATGTTCTTTGAAAAATAACTAGCAGCTAACATTTAAAAATCAAGGGATTTCACGTAAATATCTAGACTCCCCACTTCTCTCGAAAACGTGGCCAATCTGGCATCACCAGCCCACTTTCGAGCATGGCAGCTGCTGGTTGGAGCTGCAGAAAGGCTGCCCCCTTGAGGTGGGGCATGTGCTGCCCTGTGCCCGGAAGTTCCTCATGTCCAGCCCTTATATTCATTCCCTTGCCTCCTGGCCCTTGAGTTAGTGAGCCCTGCCCTAAACTTTAAGGCTTTGAAGACAAGGACCACCCGTGTCTTATTTGACTTTGACTTTCCAGCATCTAGCCCACACCCAGCACACAGTGGGTCTTCAATAAATGATTCTTAGATGAATAAAATATCTTTCAGATGCGTGCATCACATTTCTTCCAATATTAAAATTGTGCAATTGTCATCCTGCTCTAGCCTAGATCTTTGAAACAGATCCACATCATAAGCGCCCCCGATGTATGTCATCGGTCCCACTATCTAAAGCCACTCGTATGTCAGTGGGCTGCCCCCAACGTCTTCACTCTGTCATTTGATCGCTCTTCATCCTAGCAATCTCCTCTCCAAACCGGGACAGCAATGCACACCTCGTGGGGTCCCTGGGAAGACTGCATGAGACCACAAATGTCAAGCATGGCACCTGGCACTTATTTTTATCACATTATTAGCAGTGCTTTATCTCCAAGATAGCAAGAGTCTCCCCACTCTTTGTTAGACTGTGTGGTTTTGGTTTGTTTTCTTTTTTTTTTTTTTTCAGCCAAGCCTCAAGAAAGAGATTACAATAGAAATCTCTGTTTTCTGAGAATTTCTAAGTCTCCTCCTCATAAACGCTGATGGGGCTAAAGATCTTATCAGGGAACTTTGTATTTCTTATCGGTCCATTAGTGGCCCTCAAGGGAATGGATGATTAGGACAAGTCAGAACATATATAACGAGCAGCTTGTGCAGACCATTGCATGCTCAGAACTCATTCTTTTGTGAATAGCGAAGCGTGGAAAGAAGAACAGAAGCATGAAGTGGTTTGGGGTCCTAGGGCTGGTGACCCTCTCAGAGTGCTTAGTCACGTAAGTACGGGGACTGCAGGTGGCATCGGCTTTCTCTCTGGGCTCTTTCTCATCGCCCTCCTATTCTTCCACCCATCCAGAGGTAGATAAGGGAATGCAATCATTCCCCAGCTGTCTTAAAGTTCAAGTCTCTGTTGATGAGTAGTTTGCCATATGCGCTGTGGAGCTCAGGGGTTTTGGGACAGGCCTGCAGGGTTGCACAACTCCAGGGGTGAAAGACACATCATGGGCTATGTGAATGGTGCTCCCAAGAATTGTTCAGTGCACAACCTGTGCAGCTGTAGACATGGTCCCATCTAGGTACAGCATTTCTCCTGCATGTGCTTCTAGGTCTTCTCCTTGCTCTCCCTCCATGTCTGTGTGTGTGTGTGTGTGTGTGTGTGTGTGTGTCTATGTTTGTTCATCTCTGTGTGTCTCTCTTTTATTTCTCCATCTCTTTGGATGTCTCTGTGCATGTCTCTGTTTTTCTCTATTTTGATCCTTTCTCGTCTCTCTACCCTCATAATTTATTATTAATTAATACTCTTCTCAGGGCTTCTTCGAGAAAGATACAGTGAGATGACAGTAGCAATAGAGGGTTGTCATTGTTGAGACCTCCTGTATGTCAGGTGTATTATATCCATCATCTCACTTAATACTCAGAACATGCTATGTGAGGGGGTATTATCATGTTGTCTTTTTACAGATGGGGAAACTAAAGCTCAGAAAGGCCATATGGCTTACCCAAGATTACACGAGAGAACCTGTATTCAAACCGACGTCTATAGTCACAGTCTTTGCATTGTGTCCTGATAACAAGATGACCCTCATAGGGGCAGGCCCAGTGGCATAGTTAAGTTTGCACGCTCTGCTTCAGCAGCCCAGGGTTTGCAGGTTCATATCCCGGGCACAGACCTATACACTGCTCATCAAACTGTGCTCTGGCAGCGTCCCACATACAAAAAATAGAGAAAGATTGGCACAGGTGTTAGCTCAGGGCCAATTGTCCTCACCAAAAAAAAAAAAAAAAGGATGACCCTCATAAAAATGTTTGGAAACTCCAGAGTGCAATTATAATGCAAGGTGTGGCAGTTACACTGTGACACGGGGCCGCTGCTGGCTGTCACTTATTTGTTTCCCTTTCCCAATGCACGGCAAAAGAATCCCTCTTGTGAAGATCAAGTCTCTTCGAGAAAACCTCAGGGAGAAAGATATGTTGAAAGAATATCTGGAGAAATATCCCTTCCGTCTGACCCACAAGCTTCTCCACAAACATGCGGACTCAGGAGTAGCTTTTGAACCCATGAGGAACTACCTGGACGTAAGTGTTGGGTGGACGCTGGCACTCCACAGCACCCCCTAGTGCTCTGGCCGGGCACTGGTTCATCCGGAGGTGTGAGCCTGGATGTTGGGGCTGGGGCGATGTCTGGCAGAAATTCTGGGGAACAGGGACCCCATCCTCAGACAAGAAGGCACTCCCGCCCTCAGCTCTTGGTCTGTGGCGTCTGGGCCCAGCAACGACCAGGTGGCAGGTCAACATGCATTTCTTTGCCAAGGATGTGTCATTGGGGACCCGGGACCTACACGCCTGGTCTGAGGGAGTTGTCCTTTCTGAACTCAGCGAACCCTTGAGTTCGAGTTGAAGGCTGAGCCGTGTCTGATCAAACCACAAAACCAACTGCAGATTGAGTTTGATACCCCAGGCGGAGGAAGTTCTGCCTCCACAGCCCCGAGAAGGATGCAAGTGAAAAGTTGTGGCTCCCCTATGGCGCACGCCGCTCAAAACTTAACCCTACGGTTGTTGTTCTTGATAACAAAAGGTCTCGTGTCCTCTTTAAGAACGCACAGCCCAGTCGGAGAGACAGGCAAAGAGTAAATAAAAGGGCCAGCTGTGTAGTATGGATATCCCATGTTTTGAGTCTAGAGAAAGTGGCCCAGGTTGACCCAGGAGGGCTGCCTGGAGGAAAAAGCACTCAAGGTGAGCCTTGCAGGCTGAAAGGATTTAGAGAGCTGCCAGGGGGACTGGAGGGCTTTGCAAATGAAGGCACTGGGCTGAGCAGAGGCTGTGAGGTGGGGCAGGGGGTCATCTTAGGTGATATGTGACATCCCAGCAGAGGCAGGAATCGGGCTTGGCTGGGACAGCCAGGCCTGCCCTGACCACCCCACTTGGCCCTGGCAGATAGCCTACATGGGCATCATCAGCGTTGGAACCCCCCCTCAGGAATTCCAGGTCATCTTCGACACGGGCTCGGCTGACCTGTGGGTGCCCTCCATCTACTGCTCCAGCCCGGCCTGTTGTGAGTGTCCCCCACCCCTGGTCTTGTGCCCCCATTAGCTCCTCCTCGGTCCTTGGTGGGCTGACGGATGCTCACCCTCTGTGTCTGCAGCTAATCACAATACCTTCAACCCTCTGCGGTCCTCCACGTTTGTGGCCTCGGGCCAGCCCATCAAACTCATCTACGGCACTGGGAAGATGTCAGGATTTGTCGGCTATGACACCATTAAGGTAACGTGGAAACCAGAGGCTGAGGCAGGGCTGGCCCTGGGAGCGATGGCTGCTTACACGACCGGATGAAGGGTCGGCTCAGAGCACCTGTCTTTCCCAAAGTGCTCCAGCTGTGCCCCTGCTGACACATTAACCCCCAGAATGACTAACCCAGAGAGTGGGTCATCCTGGGGAGGGGCCTCGGGGCATGGATTTGCAGCTCCTTAGCTTGAGGTTGGTTTTGCTGGGATCAAGGAGAGGTGGAGAAAAACCACCCATCTTTTGTATTCTCAGACTGTGCTGGCACTTTCATTGTAACTTGTGATCCTGCTACAACCCAGCCTCAGGGACCATCATTATGCCCATTATACAGGTGAGGGAACTGAGGAACAGAGGGAGCGAGGGTCTTGCCAAGGTCACACACCTCGTAGGTGCGAGTCAGGACTCATCCAAGTGTGGGGTATTTGCCGGGCGAGAGCAGAACCGACCTGGGGACTCTGGGGGCAGCCGAGGGCTCCTGGCACCCAGGCAGGGACAGCAAGGGGCCAGAGATGCGAGAGGGCCCTGATAAATGGGTTCCTACTTTTGAGGGGGCCTTTGAGACTCTGCTAAAAACCATGGACTGCCTCCCCAAAAGCATCCGCGTCCAAACACACACACACACACATCCAGGAGTATGTTTCCTGGGCAGAATTTTTACAAGAAGCCTGGCAGCGACATGGTATAAAGAGCTTCTGTCTCTCTGGTGGATGCAGGATCCACAAGGAATTGCGATGAATTCACTCCATTTCTGTCACCAGATCCTAGTGATGTCAAAATGAAGACTGTCCTGGCTCTTTCCTCATTTTGTCCTCAAGTGGGAACCATTTGGTCCCCTTCTGAGTCTCAGTTTCTGTAAAAAACGGATGAGACCTATTAGACAGACTTCAAATGATGTTAGCGGGAGGAGCTCCGGGGTCGGATAAATGGACTCCGCCTGCCTGTTCTGGCTTCTTATAAGCATGTGAGGTCAGCCCAGGGTGCAGCCAGGCCTCAGGTCTTCTCTGGGCTCACCTCTGCTCCGGCCCAGCGCAGCCACCCTTCCCACACCTGTACACAGGAATATCCTCCTCTCCCACAGATTTCAAGCCTTGTCGACAGGAACCAAGCATTTGGCCTTAGTGTGGAGGAACCTGACAAGATCTTGGAACTCGCGACCTTCGACGGCATCCTGGGCCTCAGCTACCCTAGCCTGAGTGTCAAAGGGGTCACCCCTGTCTTCGACAACCTGTGGAACCAAGGCCTCCTTTCTCAGAAGCTCTTCGCTTTCTACTTGAGCAGGTAAGTCTGGGCTGGACCAGCCCTTTCTCCAAATCAGCTGTAAGATGCTTCTAGTGGCATGAAAACTTCCAGAATGCTTGATCCAGAAGTTTCCTGAGAGAGAGTCTAGTCCAGGGGTCAGCCAACTCTGGCCAGGGGGCCACATCTGGCCCGCCACTTGTTTTTGTAAATAAAGTTTTATCGGAACACAGCCATGCTCATTCGTGTACAGCTTGTCTGGGGCTGCTTTTCCTTTACAACGGCAGCATTGAGCAGTTGTAACCAAGATCACGCAGCCTGCGAAGCTTAAAATAATGGTGATCTGGGTTTTTACAGGAAAACCTTGCTGACTTCTATAGTCCAAGTCGCTCGTTTGTGAGGTGGGGGAACTGAGGCTCAGAGAGGAGCTTGGCACAAGATTGCCCGGTCAGGTACTAGTGGCAGAACTCGAACTCAGCCAACAGGACGCCCCCCATGGTGGGTGGTCAAGCCATCAGCAGGTCTCCCATCACTGGAGCTGCTGACAGGAAAAACTGAGTCTCCTGGCTGGTGGAGGGTCGGGGGAGGGTGTCAGGAAGGGAGAAGCAGAGACTAGAGGGGGACCCCTGTGGACAGGTTGTCTTCCCACCAAAGGCTGAGGTTGACCCCATCGATCCGTGCAGGAGGCCCAGAGTGCAGTTGAGGGTGTGGGCTCTGGGGAGATGTGAGTTCAAATCCCGGCTCTATAGCATGAACTGAAGCGAGCTGTTTAACCTCTCTAAGCCTCTGGAATACTTGTACCTGATCAAAGGAGATGATTCATTCAACGAATATTTATTCAGCATGTCCTGGGGGCCGGGTGCTGCTCTGTGCACATGAAGGAGATAGACAAGAGGGAGAAAAGGAAGACAGGAAATAAGCAAATAAATAAGGCAAACAGACAACTCCAGATAGTAACTGGTTCTGTGAAAGCGATGGATGGTGACGGGAATGTGGTTTTAGATGGACAGTGGGGAAGGCCCCTCTGAGCTGAGAGTCCACGAGGAGAGACAGCCAGGCTTGAGAAGCAAAGTTCCAGGGTGGGGGGGCAGGGGAGAGCGAGGGCAAAGGCCCCAAGGAGCACTTGAGGACCAGTAAGGAGGCCAGTGTGGCTGGAGCCCTGGGAGGGAGGGGGAGGGGATGAAGTTGGGGAGAGCAAGGGACGAGCAAGGATCCGATTCACATTCTTGAAAGCTCACCCTGGGTGTGGGCTGGAGAATGACAGAACAGAGTGGAGGCAGGGAGGCCAGGGAAGAAGCTGTCACAGCCTCTTTAGGAGACAGAGGGTGGCGGTTTGGTCCAGGAAGGTGGAGGGAAGAGGCTGCGCAGTGGATGGGGTCAGGGTATATGCCGGAGGAAAAGGCAACAGGATTTGCTGATTGATTCGATGGAGAAGGAAGGGGAGGGGTCCTCAGGGATGTCTCCTCCCTCCCTGAGATCTTACCGTGAGCCCAGGGTCAGCTGCATCCTCTGCAGGAGCCGGTGCAAAATGAAAATGGGAGACCCTGTGTTCAAAAAGGATTAGGAATTTCAAGACAGGAACAGCAGAGGTGTGGGGCCCTGTGGACAGCACAGGTGCAGGCCGTGAAGCCGACCCTGTGGGAGCCTGAACACATGGCCCTTAGCACCCCTGCGGCCTCAGCTGTTCTGAAAAATGACAGGCCAGACGAGGTGGCGGCCAGAGCCCACCGTCACAGCATCCTCCAACTGCATCCCCGAGAGCTCTGATTGCTGGGGGCACCCGGCCCTCTTCAGGACAGCAGGTAGTGGGAGGCCAGCCAGAATGTCCAAGTTGGAACCTCTGCTTCACCCTTCCTTAGCCATGTGACCCACCCTGGGCAGGTACTCAACCCCCCCGTGCCTCAGTTTCCCCATCTGTAAAGTGGAGATGATAGCAGTGCCTACTCCACGGGGCTGTGTGATGTATGCAGGAGAGAGTATGCACGGCCCTTAAGATAGGGCCTGGCACGCGGCTGAGCTTGCGAAAAGCCCCCCGCTATTCTACCCTCACCATGATGCCTTCCTCCCCCTCCCCCTCAGAAAGGGAAAGAAGGGCAGTGTGGTGATGTTTGGTGGCGTGGACCCTTCCTACTACACCGGAGAGCTGCACTGGGTGCCCGTGTCCAAACCCCTCTACTGGCAAATATCGATGGACAGGTAAGCCCCTCCCTCTGGGGACCGTCCCAAGAGATGCCCCCAGCCCCCCTGCAAGCATGCACGCACAGACACGCACACAGACCCAAGCGCACACACTCATAGGTACAGCCCCTGGGTTCGTAATCACCCCAGGCCTCCTGACCAGCGTCCTGACCAGAGAAGAGTGATCAGGCCTGAGAAGGGGGCCCCACAGGCCTGGGGACCTGAGCTGTCTCCAGGACGAGTCTCATGCACGTGGGGCGGCTGCGGTGAGAAGGGGATCAGGGAGAATTCCACCGATCTGAATGGGGTCATGATAAGGGGTTGACCAGCCCAGGTCACCTGGGGCCAGGGGTTCCCAGTATACAGGCCCACCAATTTGAAAACAGGCGAAGTCCTGGGCAAGCCAGGTAAGCTGGTCACTCTAGGGAGAAGCTCCCCAGCCATGGGGAGAGGTTGGCTTCATCCTGGAGACCTGGAAGCAAATCATACAAAGGGATGCCAGCCCCCGCCCCGCCCCCATCCCAGCCACACGGTGGGCAGCGGCTGTGACAGAATCAGGAAGCTGGGAATCCCAGAGTGGCCTGAGAACAAGGGGCAATAATTGATGGGATTCTGTGTGATGCCATCAGACAAAAGCTTAAAATGTCCTTTGGAGGCCTGCGTCCTGGCCGCTGGGCTAGCTCAGCTATTGCCTGGCCAGGGGCCTCAGCATCTGAGCTGGAGTCTGCAGGGGAGGCAGCCTCTTCCGGAGCAGCCTGAAGCTCCCTTCCTGCCACTCTGAGCACCTGCTGCCCAGGAGAGCCTCCATGTTCAACATGTGGCCCCATCATTGGTCAGACACCATACATGTCTCCTGTTGTCCCTCATTCATTCATTTGTTAATTCATTCATTCAACAAACATATGTTGGGCATCCGCTGCGTGCTGGGCACTTAAGGGAGGCACTGAGCACACAAGTTGTTGTTACAGACCTCACCATCTCATAGGGCAGATGTACATGAAACAACAAGTCACACAAATAATGAATTACCACTTAGATACATTCTAGAAATGGGGAAGGATATACCAAGAGCCTCCAAGAGGGGAGCCTAATCTAGTCTCGGGGGAAGACGTCCCTGAAAAGGTGACAATGAAGCTGGAACCTGAAGGATGAAGAGAAATTACCCAGACAAAAGGGGTGGGAGCAGTTCTAGGAAGGGCCACCAGCATGTGCAAAGGCCCTGAGGCATGAAAGAGCTTGGTGCATTCAAGAACTGGGAGGAAGTCAGAGAAAGTCAGTGTGACCAAAGAAAAGGGAAACAGAGGGGGCTGTTCTGGAGACAGTCAGGGAGGGGGCAGTGGCAGGGAAGTGACCCTTGTGCCTGCTTTGTTCCCCTGTCTCTCAGCATCTCCATAAATGGGAAGGTTATTGCTTGTGATGGTGGCTGCCAGGCCATTGTGGATACCGGGACCTCACTGCTGCTTGGCCCACAAGATGCTGTCCTCAACATCCAGGAGATCATCCAGGCCAGGCGCTCCACCAGTGGCGAGGTGAAGGGTCATTCCATAGGGTCACTCTGGGGCCTTCCACACTCGGGTAGACTCGCTGGGCCGACCTTCTCTCTCCCTCCTTCTCTGACAGTACTTCATCGACTGTGACGCCGTCAACACCCTGCCCGACATCCTCTTCACCATCGATGGCATCGGCTACCCAGTGCCGGCCAATGCCTACATCCAGAAGGTGAGGGGCCAACCCGGGGGGGCTGCTCCTCAAATCTGAGACTTTCGGTAACTGCCGGGCTGCAGCTGGGAGGAAGAGGCCTCCAGGGGGCCAAGCTGCGCCATTGCAGATGCTGTCGACCCCTCCTGGCTGGGCGGGGGCCTCCCACAAAACGAACTTCTGGATAGCAAAAGGCAGTGTGGGACAAGCATCCTCAAATAAATATGGAGCCACCACCCTGTGCCGGCGTGGTGCTAGACACAAGGAGAGGGGAACACCGCGGGCCTCTGCTCTCAAGGAGCTTCAGTTAAACGAGGGTGCTGGGATGAACATGGAAAGTCAGCTAGAGCAATCTCTGAAATAGGCCAAAGGAACAGTGACAGGATGGGTTGGCTGGGGACAGTCCCAGTGTGTTATTACACCATAATTAACAGTGCTCTTTTCCCATCTCAAAAGTGTCCTGGTTTGGATGATAAATTATGTGGTTACCCTAGTCCTGGGGGGCAACTTCCTCTTGCTAAGCCCCAGTTGCCCCTTTGTGAAATGGGGCACCAGCGCCCCCCCCCCCCCCCCCCCCCCCCCCCCCCCCCGCCTTCGTGGGATGGTTAGATGCCGACATGAATAAAGGATGCTCAGGGACCACAGAGCACCTGGTATAAATGTCAGCTCCCCATGGGAATTCAGAGGAAGCGGAATGGGTTTGAAGAAGCCTTTGAGGAAGAGAGGGAATTTAAATAATTCTAAGCCCCCAGCCTCAAGGAGGTCTGCCCTGGTGGAGGAAAATCTGCACGGGGGTCCATGTAAATGGAACCGCAGGGAACCCCAAAGGGGTGCCTGGGGCAGATCCGGCGTAATGAGGGCTGCAGACACGGGGAGCAGCAGGAAAACCACCCCAGTGAGCCTGGAGTGGCCGAGGAGGGTGAGCGTGGGTCCAGGAGGCGGCCGGGCAGGGCTGAGCTCAGTCTTAAAGAAAGAGTGAGGGGAAGGGTGAAAGAAAGGCATTTTCCGCAGAGGGAACAACCCAACCGCAGCACAGTGTGAGGGGAATTGCGGGTGGTTCTGGTGCCTAGGTGGGCACCCCATTCTGCAGCTGTGGAAAGAGCCACTTGGCTCAGATGAAATCAAGGTAAATAAAGCTGAGAAGCTGGCGGCCCTGGACAGTGAAGGGGTTGGCGGATGAGGGCTCAGGCCGACTATGTGTGTTTCCATCTCCTCCAGGATGCTGCTTTGGGCATCTGCTTCAGCAGCTTTGAAGGCAACGAGGACATCTCGAACAACTCGGAGGAGTGGATCCTGGGCGACGTCTTCCTGAGGCTGTATTTCACCGTTTTCGATCGGGAAAACGATAGGATTGGACTGGCTACTGCGGTATAAATGCAGAGGCCACCCCAGGAAGTAACCAGGCCGCCCCAAACACACACCCCCCACACACATTTGGGGCATTCCCACCCGGAGGTGCTGGCCCCAAATGTCTTTGGTGGCCTGCAGAGCCCTATTCTTGGTAGAGAATAAAGATCTTATTTCCAATGGTGCTAATACGAGTGCATGCCTCTCTTTGCGTCTGGGAGGTGCCTCAGAATCAGGCAGGACTCTAGAATGGAGTCTGGACCACACGTGAGAGGAACCCAACTTCAACTGGCTTAAACCAAAAGGGAGACTTATCGAAAGGATGCTGGGGATCCAGGATGCAGGAGCCAGAGCAGGTCCAAAGACCTCCATGACCGGACCCAAGAAATCAAAACCCATCAGCTGTCTTTCTCTCCCTCCCTCTTTCCCACCTCTCATCTCTGATTCTCTCTGCCTGACAGCTGTTTTCTCTCAGGCTTCCACACATGGAGATGGACTTTCCTGCTTCCTGCCCCAGGGCTTTACATTCTTAAGGCACCTAAAGGGAAAGGAAAGAGGCTCAGAAAATCTCAGGGTACCAGGGAGGACCCTGATTGGTCCACCCCAGGTCATGTGTCCAGGCCTGGACCAATCATCGTGACCAGGGTATAGGGTACTCTGATTGGCTCTCCTTGGTCAGGTGGCCTTCTCTGTGATGTCAGCATGACTGACAGTTTTCTCCAGAAGATGTGGCTGGAACTGGGGAGGAGCAGTCCCTAAAAGGACACCCGAGAGGGATGTTCTAGGCAGATGGGAGAGTTTGTGACTACCCCACCAACATCCACAACCTCCTCATTCAGAGGAATAGTAAAAAAGGATAAAGAAAATAGACTCGATTCTTTCCATCTCGAAGGACCTTTGGCAGTGGCCTTCTGCTCCAAGGGGGCTCTGGGTGAGGCCCTTAAAATTGGGATGTTCCACTCTGGTCCCCCCAAAACAAGGCAGGCAAAGATCCCAGTCACTACCTTTCTGCCACCCACACTTGCAATGTCCTTTCCAATCCTGCTGCCCAACTGATGGCCCATGCAGATGCCTGAGCCATCCCCACCCCTCAGATGCCCAGTGAGGCCCTTCCCTTGGCCTCCAAGACTGTCTTGGGGAGGCAGACTCTCCTATAAAGGGGGACCCCTCCTGGGCGTGCCATCCTGCGCCTCCTCCAGGGGCACAGCTGTAAACCCATTCGGTTGGAGCTGCCATGGTTTGGGATGTGGGCGTCACTTCTTCCCACCTGGGCAGAGGCCCGCCCGGGATGGGGGCAGCAGGGGTCAGAAGGCAGAGGGAGGGAGGCCCAGATGGAAGAAGGAACAGGAAAGAATAAATAAGGTGGGAAACGGTGCCCGTCTCAATGCACAGTACTGCCCTTCACTCGGGTGAGACAAATGTCAGCCATGTGATGTCCTCCTTCCTTCGTCATCCTTTCATTCGGTCCCTATTTACTGAGCACCTGCTGTGTGCTGGGCACTGTGGTGGACCCCTTGGATAGAGAGCTGGATTCAGAATCCACTGCTGAGTCAAGGAGAAACAAAAAGAGACAAATTATAGGATCCAATGGGGAGCGCCCAATACAGGAAGCAACAGAGGTGTGGGTGGGAGGCCAGAAGAGAATGGGCTTTCTCTTCAGGGAACAAGGAAAGGCTTCTGGAGGGGTGAAATCGACCTCAATCTCGCCACCCCACTGTGAAACACCCCCCCCCCCCAACCCTGCAGTTACCATCTGTGTGCAAATGCACTGTGCGTCCATGGTTACATGCACCCAGTCCCTTTGGGATGACATAGGATTATAGTCGCATAAGGGGAGGCAAAAGAAGAGCAGATGCAGAGCTGATAAAGGGCAGGGAAAAGGTGGGACCACAATCAGTGTTGCTTTTAAATAAACAGTAAATATCATGAAGTGGGCTTAATGGAGACTCAAGTGAAATGTTTGCAAAACTCATTTTCCAAGTATGTCTTCATGGAACCCTAAGCAAGCTCTCTCTTGGTCAGAAACCACCAATAAGAGTAAGAAGCATGGGGCTGGCCTGGTGGTGCAGCGGTTAAGTGCACACGTTCTGCTTCAGCGGCCCAGGGTTCGTGGGTTCAGATCCCAGGTGCAGACGTGGCACTGCTTGGCATGCCATGCTGTGGTAGGCGTCCCACATGTTAAGTAGAGGAAGACGGGCACGGATGTTAGCTCAGGGCCAGTCTTCCTCAGCAAAAAAAAAGAGGAGGATTGGCAGCAGATGTTGGCTCAGGGCTAATCTTCCTCAAAAAAAAAAAAAAAAAAAAAGAGTAAGAACCATAGCTCCAGTGGGTGACAGATGCTATCTCACCGTCTCTCCATGACCGCGTGCAAGGCAGATAACATTGCCCTCATTGACAGATGAAGGACATCTCCCCCCATCTTCTGGCTCCAGCACCCGGTGCCAGCACACAGTGGGCCTTCAGTAAATACTGTCGAATAAATGACTGGATCAATCAGTGTTCCCACTAGAGCACACCGCTGTGTCTATGGCAGGAGACACACATGGTGTCAGCCTGGCTTACCGCCATTGTATTGACCGCTAAAGGTCAGGTTTTGTTCCCCTAAATGAGCATAAGGCCAGGGCTGGAGCTGGTGGCTATTAACGAGCTAACGTTAATGAGTCAACGTTATTGAGGTTCCATATTTGTGGTTGTGCCACCTACATGAGGATAAATTCTGATCTTCAAAGCAAAAATCTCCCCCTATCCTCCACTTTTATGCTTTACCAACCTCAGACCAAAGAGATTTATAGCCTTTGGTGAGACAGAATGTGAAGAAAAAGGAAAAAGCTAGCTCTTGAACACTTCTTGTAAACGTGTCAACTGGTACAATCTTTTTGGAGATGATTCGTCCTTAAAATATGTATGGTTTTTGTCCAAGCATTTTTGCTTCTAAGATTTATGCTAAAGCGATGATCAGAAGTGCCTGAAAACAGGAATGGGCAAGGATGTAACCCTCAGTGTCTCTTACAGAAGGGAAAGTCTGGAACATTCGGATGTGCATTAAACATAGTGTCCACAGCATAGACCATCACGCAACCACCTTAAAATAAGGTTCTAAAAGAATGTTTAATGTCACGAGAAATGATTCCAATATAATGCTAACAGGAAAGAACAGAACACAGAGCAGCTTGATCCCAGGTTTGCTCAGCATACGGAAGACAGCGCAGCCTACTGACCTGGCATGCGCGTCCTGTGGCTTTTCTGCCGGGGTTCAGATCCCAGCTCTGACATGTACCAGACATGTGACCTTAGGTAAATTCATCTCTGGACCTCGGTTTCCTATTCTGTAATGTGCGATAAGAATGGTTCTTCCCTCACTAGTCATCAGGGAAATGCAAATCCAAACCACAATGAGGGGTCGGCCTGGTGGCACAGCGGTTGAGAGCACACGTTCCGCTTGTCGGCGGCCTGGGGTTGGTTGGTTCGGATCTGGGTTCGGACATGGCACCGCTTGGCAAGCCATGCTGTGGCAGGCATCCCACATATAAAGTAGAGGAAGATGGGCACGGACGTTAGCTCAGGGCCAGTCTTCCTCAGCATAAAGAGGAGGATTGGCAGCAGTTAGCTCAGGGCTAATCTCCCTCAAAAAAACCCCACAATGAGATATCACCTCACACCTGTTAGCATGGCCATTCCCCAAAACACAAAAAGCGTTGGCGAGGACGTGCAGCCCGCTACACCGTCGCTGGGAACGTTAACTGGTGCAGCCACTGTGGAAAACAGCATGGAGATTCCTCAAAAAATTAAAAATAGAGTGACCATAGGATTCAGCAATCCCGCTTCTGAATACTTATCCGAAGAATTAAAATCAGGATCTCGAAGAGACATCGTGAGATCCTGTTCATTACAGCATCACTCACAATAGCCAAAAGGTAGAAGCCATCTAAATGCCATCACTGGATGAATGGCTAAGGAAAACGTGGTCTATCCATACAAGGAAATGTCACTGAGCCCTAAAAAAGAAGGAAACCCTGCCATTTGTGACAGCTTGGAGGAAACTTGAGGACATTGTGTTAAGTGAACTGTCAGTCACAGAAGAGTGAATACTGTATGAGTTCACCTACATGAGGTCACTACATTGTCGAACTTCTACGAGCACAGAGTGGAATGGTGGTGGCCGGAGCCGGGAGGAGGGGAATGGGGAGTTTTTCTCTTCAACAGCCATGAAATTTCCGTTGTGAAGGATGAATATGTCCCAGAGGTCTGCTGTACAGTTTAGTGCCTATACTTAAAGATACCGCATTGTGCATTTAAAATTTTGTTGAGAGAGTAGATCTCACGTTAAATGTTCTTACTACAATAAAAAACGAATTAATAATATTTTAATTTTATTTTTGAGGAAGATTAGCCCTGAGCTGACATCTGCTGCCAATCCTCCTCTTTTTGCTGAGGAAGACTGGCCCTGAGCTAACATCCGTGCCCATCTTCCTCTGCTTTATATGTGGGACGCCTACCACAGCATGGCTTGCCACGTGGTGCCATGTCCGCACCCGGGATACAAACCGGTGAACCCCCAGCTGCCAAAGCAGAACTGCGAACTTAACCACTGCACCACTGGGCCAGCCCCAAATAATTAGTAATATTTAAAAAAGAATATTCCCTTCTAGTTGGGGAGAAGGTCAGGAATGGGAATCAGGTTTGATGGCTGATGGGTATGAGATTTCTTCAGGGGTATTGAAAACATTCTAAAATTAAATCATGGGCCAGCCCAGTGGCACAGCGGTTAAGTGCACACATTCTGTTTCGGCGGCCCAGGTTCACTGGTTCGGATCCCAGGTGCAGACACGGCACTGCTTGGCAAGCCATACTGTGGTAGGCGTCCCACATATAAAGTAGAGGAAGTGGGCACTGATGTTAGCTGAGGGTCAGTCTTCCTCAGCAAAAAACAAGAAGAGGATTGGCAGCAGATGTTAGCTCAGGGATAATCTTCCTCAAAAAAATTAAAAAAAAATAAAATTAAAGCATGATGGCTGTGCAAATTCATGAATTTACTGAAAAGTGCTAAACTCTACACCTTAAATGGTAGAATTTAAGCTACGTGAAATATATCTCCATCAGGCTGTACAAACATACAACTAAAATAATAACGGGAAAAAATAGTCCCTACCTTCTAGGTCTATAGTGAGGATGAGATGAATTAATCTGTAGAAAACCTCTAGGAAGGAGCCTGTCACATGGTAGCGTGAGCTTTGAGTGTTTCACACATACACCAGAAAAAGATCAAAAGTGTGGAACAGTGGTTATATCCAGGAGGCAGCACGATGCACAGTTTTTCCTCTCGTCTTATGCTTTTCTTAGTTTTTTCAGTGGTGGCTTTTATGACGGGGGGGGGAAGCTAAGTATTATTCTATGAAGGACAGGGGCTTCCAACAGAGAAAGGACGGTATCTTGGCTGGGGTTGCCTGCTGGAGGAAATCGATTCCCATAGAAAAAGCCGACCAGGGACTGATGGTGAAGCGCTGACACCTAGTGGCCAAGGTGGGTATTACACACGCAGTCCTCAAGGTCTCGCACGTGGTGGACCTGCTCTTTGGTTCCATCGATTTAAACGTTAAAAAAATAAA